TGTGTGTGTGTGTGTGTGTGTGTGTGTAATGGAGTACTACACAGCCACACAAAAGAATGAAATCTTGCCATTTGTGACAACATGGATGGACCTTGAGGGTATAATGCTAAGTGAAATAAGTGAAAACGAGAAAGACAAATACCACATGATTTCATTCATGTGTGGAATCTGAAAAATAAAGTAAAACAAAAACAAACTCATAGAGAGAACAGATTGGTGGTTACCAGAGGGGGAGAGAGTTAAAGTGGATGAACGGGGGCCAGTTGTATGGTGATGAGTGATCACTTTGTAGTGTATACAGACTCAAATTATAATGTGGTATACCTGAGACTTATTTTAAAAAGTAGCTTAATTTTAAAAGTGTCTACATATCTTCATTAAGTTTGATAAAGAAGGGCTAACTAAGAAATAAGTGTGTTATAGTAATGGAGATTTAGGAATTGAAACAATCATTATTAAGATATATAGGAGGAGATGAATCTCAAACTAAATATACTAATGCCATATGGCATAGTTCTGTTAATCAACTATTTTTATAGACTATCAGTTTCTAGAGCTAATCCCAATTAATTTGTTAACAAACTTAAAAGGTCATAATAGGGGGCCGGCCGAGTGGCTCAGTTGGTTAAGAGCGTGAGCTCTGAGCAACAGGGTCACTGGTTCGATTCCCACATGGGCCAGTGAGCTGTGCCTCAGCTGAGCTGCTGCTGAGTTGCCAACAGGTGGCAGGATAGCTCAGCTGGTGAGAGCACATGCTCCTAACAACAAGGTTGCGGGTTTGACTCCCACATGGCTATGCCCACCCACAACTAAGAGTGAACACCGCACCTTGAGCTGAGCTGCTGCCGGGCGGCCGGATGGCGACTGGACTTGGAGCTGAGCCAGCTGCACCCTCCACAACTAAGATTGAAGGACAATTTGGCTGTTCCCCTTCTCTAATTCCCCAACACTGCTCCCCTTCCCCAATTCCCTGATAAAATTCTTAAAAGAAAAAAAAAAAAAGGTCACAATATACCCAGTTTGTTGAGTGGTGAAGTTGCTGAAGGACTGAAGAAGAAATTATCTTTCTCATAGCTTATTTTTCAGTGTATTAGTCTCTTGGACTATCTCTACTTCATAGAACACAAAATAGGAGTATGATATAATCAGATATGGGGTGTGTTTCCACTTTAACAACTTGATTTTATTCATATTAACAGGTATATTTAAAATCTTCTATACAAATTCACACATTTTAAATGGGAGCAAAGCATGAGAGGTAAAGGTTACGAGGTAACTCAATTATGAGGAGGTAGAGAACAAAGAGTGAACAAAAGATATTCACCCCCAAAGCTCTTTATGCGTGGCCACCAGATGGCGCCGTCGTTCCACGTCAGCTGGTTTCTCTGAATACAGAAGGGGAAGGCTGAGCGCTACAGTGCAACCAGCAGCTGTCCCACAGAATAGGATGTTCTTAAGTTGGTTCTTTGTAACCTCAGATACCTGTTTTATGTAGTAAAAGCAGGCCTGCAGTTTATAATTGCCTGTTCGAATTTCTAGTTCTTTTGAGGCTGGTTTTATGCTACTATCAAATAAACCATGTAAACCTCTTGTAATTTTTGTGAGAAGTTACCTCTTTTTAGATATAAGTATCAATAAAATCTTAATAGCATTAAAACATTGAACATAAAACATTACTATACTGTGAAATATGAAGATATACTTTGATTTTATTTTCTAAATGATGCTACTGAAATTGTACTCTTAAAAATTAATTGATAGCTATTAAATAACGGATATAAATGACTTAGATATGACCAAAATGAGGAATACATGTAGGAATATGAGAGACTGAACAAAGGTAGATAAGGCGTTATCTTTGGTTGCTTTGAAATGAAAATTTTGTTTTCAGTTGTAGATAGTTGAGAATTTAAGAAACATTCTCCCCACAGTTCACATTTGCATTTGAAGAATATATATATATATATATATATATATATATATATATTATATATATTATATATATATATTCCTAGAACCAGAGGAATTGAACTTTAATTGAATGTTTATATTACATACTAATGACTATGTAATGAGGTTTGGTGTAGGGATTAAGGGAAAAACTAAAAATGGTAAATTATGGAATATCTTGACACTTTGAGCAAATATTTAATTTAGGTTATGTGTCACCTTAGGCCCGTTGTGGTTTGATATACAGAGTGTAAATAAATTAATAAGTAAATATTCAGGTTATGGAGCTACAGTATGGAATGGACAAATAATACATTTTTCATTGAAATATAATTGACATAT